AAACTGCTCTTTAGCAACTGGAGTCCGCTTTAAGCGCAGCTAGAAGCGACTAAACCGCAGCACAATAGCAGTACTATACAGAGAACACTCTCACTTTAAACAAATTGTACCTAGAACGGCCTCTGGCCAAAGTCTTACATAGTCACTGACTGCAGATAGACTCTAATGGAATAATAATAATAATATGCTTACTAGATAGGCATTACAGTGATAATCACGAGCAAAAACATGATAGATAGCGAGAAATCACTTTTGGAATTATCGTGACGAATAACCAGATATACACCCGTTCATGGCCGTAATCGTCTCTACAGGCCATCGCGCATCCCCCTACGCCGGTTTGGCACCTATAGAGCAGTTATTGCATCCAATGCTGGAATCATAGAGAGCGCCCAAGGCCCGGATGTGGTGACAAGTGGTAGAATATATGACGAAATAGTTAGTTAACTAGTATTATTAGTATTATAGAGGGGCCAAAGGCGTAAAGTAGTTCTATAGATTTGCTGTTGCTTTGCTTACTTTGATATCTGATGACCATTGCAACTAAGCACGATCCCGGCTGTACCCTGGTCGAGAATGATGGGATTTTGGGATGGGTAGATACCGATTGCGTTAGCAGCCAAAACCACTTGGGGTGCTAGCTTCGCTCGTGAGCAACACCTGATCCGTTGATCAGTGCTGCAACTGGTACATATTTAGTCTTATGCTAGAGGTTTTTCTGCTCTATAGGTCGTTCCTGGTGTCTCGTAATACTTATAATTATCAAGTCGTGGAAACACCTATCTTCTATCAACCCACGTGTATCTAAGCAATGTCTCTACCCAAGCAGCTTGCCCTTCTGGTGTCGGTAAGCCGCCCTCTATCTTAGGTAGTTGCTCCTGCAATATGGTTCTCAGGCTTGATTCATTCTGGACAATATGAATTGAGTGTAGAGCAACTACTCTTTGGCACTGCGCTAACCTTTCCCATCTGTCTTAGTATGTTAGCAACTGCCACCCTAAAATCTCCTACCTCGTACTGTACTGACGCAAAAAGTTGCCTTTGGAGTGAATGATGTTTATGATTATACGTCAGATTCGCAAAATCGACGCAAGACCAGTCGGTGGACGGACGGGACCGCTCTCGACCAGCATCATCACAGATGTGTATTGCTGGCAGCTAAAGTATCGACTGCTCTAGTCATATTGATAACTTTTCCCTCATGGAAAAAGTCTCCAGAGCTCTTTACTTGTATCATGGCTGTTCTCGCGTTACTGTGGGCATACTCATCACCCCCCTTCCGACTCAAGGAACGACCGGTTCTGGACTCGCTTTCAAATGGAGCACTATGCTGGCTTTTCTGGGCTTGCGGCTATATTTCCGATGGAAACGCAATATTCGTCTCTTCTGTACCTGCTTCAAAGAGCGGCTGGCTTATCCTATTATATGGTTCAGCTCTGCACAGCATGGCCGCGATGGTAGATGTGGACGCAGATGCCTTTGCAGAGTATCGTACTATTGCGACAGTCTACGGGGAGAAGTTCTCAGCAATGTTCTCTCTTACCTGTTTGTGAGTATTCCCCCAGGTGCGCTTTCAGTACTGATGGGTCTTTTTGTATCCAGTTTGCTTGCTAGTTTTATGATAAATCCATGGTCTGAAGTTAGTATGGCCATCTACGCAGGCGTCTTCACTACTTTCTTCCTTGTATTTATGCCCCGGGCGAAGTATATCTTAACGAGAGCTGCTTTTCTAGGCTCTTATGCTGGCGCTATCGTATGGACGGCCAAAAAGCTCTGCGGAATCATGAGAGGTCAAAATGTCGTTGGGACTTGGTGAAAGGTTACGTCGATCTCGCAGATGGTTAGTTAGCACCCATGAGCGGTGACGTAACTGCGCCACGGCGTCTCATTAAGGCCAATGCTCTAAACTACTCAACTACTCGTCGCGAACGTCAGCGTTTTGGGAGCCCCCCTCACAGATCGCGATACTCTAGGAGCGTTCAGCCCAGCTCTGTTCAAATTTATGTACTAATCCCCAAAACTCAAAGCTATCATCTTAATAGCTAATCTAAATATTTGCCTTCTACATTCATGAGCCTCGGAGCCAATCGTTAATCATTGCAATGCAGCCCCGATTTCGTTTTACCTGTCGTTTGTTAGCGATTGTCCTCGTGCATCCTACCGGATACCAACCTCTCTATAGAAGCCTTTGCTTGATTCTCGTAAAAAGTGACTTTTACGTTCTAGTTCATAGATCCTGCCTTTCCGCTCTGCTAACGCTATGATTGTCTTCTTCGTAGTTTCTAATATTTCTTTCAGCTGAGAATCGATTGAGTCTACTAACGGTAGCTTTTTCCACATGCTTTGCATGCTCTCCTCTGAACACAACTTCTCCAAATCCTGGATGGGTAAGTTTCCAGAGTCGCTACATATATATTTCAAAATATGATATGCAGTCGTATTTTTTTTGGCACAGACGCCATTCTCGAGGATTAGTATGCCGCACTTCTGCGCAGAACGATAGGCGTAGATACTCAGATTTAGCCCTGCTGTAACACTTAGTGAGCGTTTGTGTACAAAATTGAAGCCCTTACCTTCTTTTTGGAGGTTCGAAATTATATGTTTATGAAGCTCACATTGCTGAGCTTCATTCTTCTCACATTCACCAATCTAATATCTAATTAGCTCAGAAAGTTGTATAACTCTTTCTTATCTACCGTTTTCAGCAATTGTGTTTCTATTTGGGGAATCCAAGAAGTGATATAATCCTTAAATTTGGAAGTTTTAGAATCCGTAGCGTCAGAACGGATATAATCCGTAGGATAAAAATGGCTGTAATTCGTTGAATAAACCACAGATGGATTTTCCATGTTGTCGTTGAAGATCTAAACAACAATCAGGCAAAATTATATTGATTCACAGGGTCTGGAGTACCGTGATACGGAGTATAGGCAATTCACCCATTATGGCAAATTGCAATAATAGAGCTCTTAGAAAGGGCTACCAAAAAAGAGTCTATGATATAAAAACACAGAGGAGAGTTCATGTAACTATGTGTAGAGAATAACACCAGAACCATGTACAATTTGACCATGATAACATGCTGACAACTTGAGCATTATACGCGCCCGACAATACTGTACGTGTACGCGTAATACTTCCTTCCTCCTATATTCTCGTTAGTGCCAAAGCATACTGATTACCGTGTAGGTCACATGACTGTGGCGTGGTTGGAAGGATTGCGGCGCCGCATTTCAAGTCGCATATATTGTTCTGCTTACCGGCTGTGACCGTAATCGATTTTAGGGTCATCACACAGTAGTCAGACGTTTCGTCCGACTAGGTAATAGCTTGTAGCTATGTTCCACTACAGTACAGTCATTAGCGATTGCGGCTTCACCTCCGCAATCAGCATTCTAAAATTCTAGTCGTCATGAGATCGAGGATCGACCAATCATGTCGATTGCTCTGCAGCTAACTTCTCGCGCTAAGCTATGTAAGGAAGGTGGGGTTGTTCGGAATTGTTGCGCAGCTGCGTGTAAGGGTGAAGCCGCAATCGCTAATTACTGTATTCCTTGTGCGATTCTGCTTCTGCTTCTTTATACAGTTCTGGAGATTATCATAGGAGATACAGGGGTTAATTGTTTGTTGTATATGATCCTCATGGTCCAATGTCCCTATGCCAACTGACAGGCTTGAGATTCCGAAATATGAAGTTTCATCCATATCTCTCGTCATCTCCTCGCCTCGCTCGCTTTGAATAGACTGCGTAATGTTGATGAGGGAGTCCGGGTGCCAAGGCCTAGGCGCAGTCTTTCCACGGAGTTGGTGCAACGCTTTTTTTCGAATGTCTTGGTTCATGGCATTGAGAATGTCTCGTTGGTGGTTTGGATTGGTGATACCCAATGCTGACCTGAGATCAGGCGGGCCGCCAATTCAGATAGATTTTGTTGTGAGAGACAGGCTCCACCTCGTGTTCTAGATGTTGTCGAAAATAGAGAAGGCAGCAAAAACATGCGGGCTTGCTGCAGGCTATGAATGGATCGTCGCCAGACTTGCTATCAATTCAATCAATTTGGAGCCCAAAATATTGATTGATTGATTCGCCGCCAGTGTAAGACTTGATTGAATTGATTGATTGCCTAGTTTGGCGTAACTTGATTGAGGTTTTTGATTCGATTGATTTGATTTGATCTATTAGTTACCTAATTAGGCAAATTGTATGGTGAGCATAGTGGTGAGATATAGTCACGTGATCTATCACGTGACTAAAATCTGATAAGATAAGTCTAATCTACAAGATCTCTCCTATATCTCATATGGACGCCACGTGATTCAAAAAGCTCAATCAATTCAATCAATCTGACTCTATAGAACTTGATTGATTGATTGGTTAGCTACTACAATATTGAATTGATTGAATTGATTCAATCAATCAAGAATCAATCAATCGAATCAACAGATTGATTGTTAGCAAGTCTGATCGTCGCATGCGAACTGCATCCCATGTGCATGGAAATGTTCCAACACTTGAACCTCAGCATGGACACAAGGGCTCCGATTGAGTCCAATAGCGTAGTTATCTATATACCGGTTGGATGGCTGGTATCGACTGTCCATATGTGTAAGCGCCTCCTGATATAGATCTAGCTCGGGGGAGTTGGCTGGTAGCATACGGACGAGTATTTTATTGAATGTAATCATTTATGGTGCACAAGCGACCAGGTCATTAGCTGCTCGAAAATGGTAGCCCAGCCTCCCAATGTAATGCCGAATCATGGCGAAAGCTACATTTATCGCGTCTCTGTTGTTTTCATATGTGGGCTCAGCACTGAGTAGAGCGAGGGCATGCATAAATCTTGTTTACGGCTTGCATATGTAGAGCAGCAAAGGTTAGAAAGGCTACCCGCATTCTCCCAGCTTTGTAGCCATTCAAGGAGGCCGGATTCTTTCAAGAAGTTTTTGCATTATCCACCGCGATATTCATGTTTGAGTTGAATTCGCCGACCGCTTGCTTTGTCTTGGCAAGATAAGAAATATATCTTCGAAGTAAGGGTTTGAGATGGCTCCTGTATTTCTTGATCCTTTGGGCTGCAAAAGCAACACGCTGTAATGCCAGCTCTGTGGCAAATTGTGCAGATCTCGGAGTAGCCGGTACATTGACAATCTGCGTCAAGATCGACTGAATAAACTCGATGGTCTTCGTTTTCGGACCTGAATTGGAAGTAATCTAGAATATGTGCCTCTGCGGTGTCGATTGCAACCCAATCGCTACTACACTCTCATGCACTTGCAGCTTCCGCTTTGCGCACATAGCCGGATTGTCATCCCATGGAGGACACGGACCCGCTTGGTGTACGCTTGTCCAAAGGGAGTTAGACTTTATTAGCATCCTGCGTTGACTGGTCTGAGAGCGTGAAAGAAGACGCATTGCTGACAGAAACTAATACTATTTAGGCAAGATTACCACTAAGCGACAGAGGCTTAGCGTGGGATCAGAGATCGCCTGCTTACAGAAACCGGAAGCTGCAACTGCATGAGAGTGTAACAGAGCACAGAAGATCTCTGTCGTGGTGAGCGGCCTTGTCGCATACGTAATCCATAATAGTTCGTAATCTCCGCTTAACTTCCCTCTATACATACATGTGCCTTATGCTGAATGTTTGAAGTGGGCTTTTGATGAACGCTTCCGAGCTCTGCATAGGCAGAATTCTGCGTCACGCGTGGTATTACCTGCTTAGCTGAATCGGGTCAGAATTCTTACATTAATATCAAATAGATGACGGAACTTGAAATGCTAATTCGACAAGGCCTACCATCAAGACCCCAATCGGTCCCTGCCAAGAAGAAGACAATCACGCGCTGGTCGGGAAATGACATCCAGCATAGTATATCACAGCTGCTACGGAATCTCCTGCTTTGCCTTTTCTCGGCTTCAGAAGCCATTGGCTGCATCACTGGTTCAGCTAGCCTTTAGACATACTCTCGGCGCCCGGATATTAGTTAGATTACATCAAAATTGATGGGTGTGGCATGTCAGCAGCATGTCATACCCCCTGTCTTATCTGGCGCTGTTTCTGTCCACCCAAGTGAATGTTTCTCGATGGTGGAATATGGACAGTACAATAAAATCGCTCAACCCCCTTCTCTACTAGCTGCCACACGCCTTTGTATAATAGAATTATACTTACCATGGTCCTCCTAGTATCCATTGCTGTTTTCCTCTTGGCCATCACTGTCCTGCACATTCTAACGAAGCTTTGGCTGAACAGATCTGTCCTACCTCTGCCGCCAGGGCCCAGAGGACTCCCGATCCTGGGAAATGTTAGCGACATGCCCAAGCCGGGTGTGCTCGAATGCCACCACTGGTTCGAGCACAGGAAAAAGTATGGGCCTATCTCTTCTGTGACTATCATGGGCCAAACCATAGTCATAATCAACGACGCTACTATCGCTCTGGATCTCTTGCGTAGCCGCTCTGCCATCTACTCTTCACGACCTAGCCTTACCTTTTCCGGCGAGATGTAACTCTTCCCCATTATGCCATCTACAATCGAGAATTACTAAGCCGGTGCTAGGGTAGGTTGGCGCCATGTAACTGCCATGATGCCCTACAGCGATACCTGGAAGATCCACCGGCGCAACATCAAAAAAATCACAAGCACAGCCACTTCGCTCGCGGAATTTGACCGCATCCAGGAGACTGAAACCGCGCACTTTCTCGTGAATCTGTTCGAGGCACCGGAGCGTTTACTCGATCATATAAGACATGAAACTGGCTGTGTTATTTTGAAGATTGTATACGGGTACGATACTAGGCGAGATAAGAGGGATCCGCTGGTCGATATGGCGGAAACGACGGTGGCGCAGTTTGCAGAGGCTTCAGTGCCGGGGACGTGGGCGGTGGATACATTTCCATTTTGTATGTCTCCATGTCTTCGTCACCCCCTTTCTTTGCGATTTCTAACATGTTTTTTTTTAATTAGTGAAATATCTCCCAGACTGGGTCCCAGGAACAGACTTTAAAAAGACAGCCCAGGCAATGTCCGACCAACTAATCCAATGTGTAAACCAACCCTACGCTTTCGTAAAGCAGCGAATGCATGAGGAACGCCAGACACTATCTTTCCTCTCGCAATCCATCGCCACCATCGGTACAGACGCTAACGCGGAGTTCGTACATAAATGGACGGCGCTAGCACTCTATCTTGGGGGCGCAGATACTGTACGTGTTTTCTCTCTGCGTTCCCATTTCCAAACTAAACCCGATAGACTGTCTCAGCCCTCAGCATATTTTTTCTCGCCATGTCTCTCTTCCCCAGCATCCAAGTGGCGGCCCAATCCGAACTTGACGCCGTCCTCGGCGTCCCCCCCCGCCTCCCCACAGCCGAAGATCTCCCTCACTTCCCATATATCGAAGCTGTCGTAAAAGAAACATTCCGCTGGCATCAAGTCGCTCCCATGGGCCTCCCACATACAAACATTTCCTCCGACACCTACTCTGACTACCATATCCCACAAGGCTCCATCATCCTCGCTAATATCTGGGCCTTCATGCACGACCCTTCGACCTACCGTGACCCTTTTATTTTCCGTCCAGAACGGTTTTTGGGTCCGGAGGCGGAACTGGATCCAAGGGGTCATGTTTTTGGCTATGGGAGACGGATTTGCCCAGGGAAGTACATGGCGGAGAGGGCGTTGAAGATTACAATTGCGAGTACTTTGGCAGTGTTTAGTATAGAGAAAGAGGGAGAGATGGAGACGACGTTTTGTCCGGGGTTGCTGAGTCATCCTAGCCCATTTAAGTGTAGTATTAGGGCTAGGTCAGGGGTGCATGAGGAGGTGGTGAGGGGGGTGAAGGAAAGGGTCAAGGCACAGGGGGACGGTAGTGGAGATGCAGAGGAGTTGGAAGGGGTGAGGTGGTAGAGTGGTAAGAGATATTTAGGGGTGATTAAATCATTCATGACATTGCGTTTCCAGCTGATAATGCTGCGCTGTTTCTTGAGTATGCCAATGAGGCATTTGCCTTGTTTTCTTTTTTTGGCTGTATCCGCTGCGCCGAGATGGCAGGAGCTCAATGAGGTACGTGAAACCATTCAGTGGGCTGGTTGGCGGCAAGCAAGTACACGGGTATGGAGACTGGGATATCAGTGTTGGGCTGTGGGGCCTGTATCCATCATCTGATCAAGTAGAATTCGTCCGTGCAAACTGTGAGATCGAAGCGAAGATGCGGGAGCTGAGGGGTTCCAAATGGCTCTACTCGCGTTTGTTTTACAGTGAAGATGAGTGGTGTCTACGACAAGCACGAGTACGACAAGCTCCTTTGGAAATACCACGCCACGTCTCTACCTTCGATATGGGACAAGATCATGGATCGAGGGCGGAAACAAGACTTTGGTACGGGAGTCAAGGGCTTATTAAAGGGGCTTGTGAAAAGCAATGTGTTCTTATTGTGAGAAAAGAACAAGTGTATTCAGATCTGGCTAAGCATTCTATGGTGGGCGGTGGCTGTTATATATCCTACAGCCAACGCTAGTCTGTTAGGTGTCACATGGCTAGGCTCAAACCAGTACTTCTCTGGTCTCTATAGTATATATAAGGCGGTGAAGGGCGGCGACTACATACTGAAGAAGTATAAAGCCGCTTCAGGCTCGTCAACATATATAGGTGTACAGGTGCATATAAAACAGATCGAAATCCCCAAGGAAACCCTTCCTTGGCCTACTCCAACACCAACTAGGTGCCGTGCTAGCTGTTATCAGTAGATGCACCAGTTTTTTTGCCAGTCGAATGTCAACACTCAGTGGAGCTTGCCGGTGGCTTGTTGGGATATCGTAGGAAGATCTCAGAGAAAGCTTTAAGGCAGTTTGGGCTCTCTTGTAAGTTTCTAGCCTCTGACCTATTAGGTCATATAATTACGCCTTATAGCCTGCAAATTAGTTTACTAATGAATCTTTTACTCTTTGTTTGCTGTGTTATAAGCCGAACAGATGCCTCGAATTATCGAAACAGTAAGCCTTTTTTTTAAATAATTAGTGGGCGGACATTTACGAACTCGACCACGCCTCTCATAGAAGACGAGCGTGCTAAAGGTTAACGTAGATGGTCGTCGTCAAACAAGGATGACCAAACTAGAAAGAGTTTACAATCGGTTTGGCGAGCCTGCTCGCGTTGACCCGTTGTCGCAGTTGTTTGTCGACGCCCAGCATCCATACATCAATAACAAAAGCGTCAAGGACACCGAGGATCTTCCAAATTCCGTTGTATTACCAGAGAAAGCCTTTGAGGGCTGGGAGAAGTTCTCTGTTCACTGCGGTGTGGCAACTATCATTGAGTTACGTTACGGCATGTCCATGCAACCTCATCAAGGTACCGCATCGGCTCACCCTGTACCGCACACACAGTATATCGAGGATGGCAAAACAATTTATATGTCCTTGTTCTTGAACTTTGTTGAAGAGCGAACCAACAAGAAACTTCCCAGACTTGTCGTTGGTGACCTCGTCGACGCCGAAATCAATATTGGTACTGGCTACGTCCAATCGGAACATACCTGGAAGGATCGCGTCGTCCATCCCACTCTCTGTACTGGCACAGGACAGATCTGCATCGTCGCAGATCGTCCTTACAGTAAAGAGGAGGGTATACTTGACGCGAAGCCGTACACCACCTTGACGGTCAAACAAATGGAAACCACGACTCCCGAGGAACTGGGTGACTGGGCCTCTCAAAACCAAGATCTGAAAATCATTGTGATCAAGCGCGGTACCGAGAATGAGTGCAAAACCCTGTGCAAAGGGCTTGAACAACATGAAAATTCCTGCCGAACTCCTGCCAAATTAACGGGGCAAAGAACACATTCTCGAACAGTTCCGCACTTTCTCCATGTGCAAGGACCACTTTCGATACAAGACTTCGTCCCTCTTTGAGATTCTACATCCCGAAGATTACGCTCGCGTTCTGGATGCTCTGCGTTCTTCACTTCGCAGCTACCAAATGGAACCAATCAACCACTGGCTCAATCAAGGCGTCACTTCCAACATTGTAGCTCTTGCAGGCATCTCGGGCTCTGGCAAAACGTACACTAGTATCAGTGCTCTCTGTGGCCATACCTTCCGAATCAAGGTCGATAGTGAAAAGAGAGCCATGCAGGAGGAAGATTTTGCTTGGTTGGCCAATGGTTAGACTGCCCAGGCTCGCAAGAAGGCTGAGATGAAGGCTTGATCTGGTCATCCATACGGTCCGGGCGACATGAGAGGCGCTCTCGAGGATATCGTCGGCGACGAGTCGGACGGTAATGACGCAGAGTCTGCGCACGCAGGAAATCTTGCCAAGGAGGTTTGTGCAGGCCCCCAACGTTCTGATGGCATGACGCAAGAGTTCGAAGCTGGCCGCATCACTCATGCCAGCATCCAGAACGAGACTGTCGATCATAATTATGAGATCTTGTGCGACAGGCTCAATAGAATTTGCGAGATCACCAAAGCTCCCTCGAAGCTTGTTGTCCGCCTACACTCAATCCGGTCCGACCCCAAGACCATTCATATAAACCTGGAGCTTGGTGGAACGGTGAATATGGCGCTATTAGAGCATTATACCCGCGTCATGCGTACTAATAATCCAGGTATAACCGACAAACGTATCCACACTGTGCACGGCTCACTGTCCTACGTGATACTTCAGCTGGCAAGACTCACTGGCATTCCGTTCACTAACGAAGTCGCCAACACTTGGAACGAACAGGATCGAAATACCATTGCGAACGAGCTTTCCTCCATCTGCTACGCTTGCAATGAGTACCAAGCCGATGGCCAGATATCTGAAGACACTCGAAAGCAGGTGAAGCGAGATCTCATGATTGGCTATCAGGTTGTCATCCAACGTGCCTCGGTTGTTTGCAGCACTCTTGTCCTCGTAAAAACAGGCAACTTTCAAATACATGACAAGGCACATGCCATCGCACTTGAGGAGCCTGGACGTGCTATCGATTTGGACATTGCCACTCTCCTCTCGGCCCACTGGGCTTGCGACCTCATCATGTTAGTAGGCGACGACCCAAAGCTTGACAACCCATTCCAATCCCAGCTATGCCACTCTACCTTCAGCCGGCTGAACTACACTGGCTTTCCCATCCCGGTGCTCACTCACACTTCACGTTTCACGAGCGATCCTTTCCTCTTACTCTGTAGACGTCTTAACAACGAGCCACGCATACCTGCAGTACCAGGTTCTTTTAAGACAGAGCTTGAGAACGAGGCCAAGCGGGTAAATAGAAATATATGGGGCAAGAGCAGTGTTATCGTTGTTGCAATACCGAGAATGCTGTTGCCCAGCGGGACATGAACGGATCCTGGTACTCGATCCAAACCGCCCTCACTGCTGTGCATGACGTGGTCCGACGCCTCCAAGACATCCCGGGCGAGAATTTGATGGTAATTATCGCGTACAATGCTCAGCTGTCCCTTCTGAAGTCATTGCGAGACACCGCCCACCGCAACGCAGTCGCAGCTGGTAATACAACTCTGGCGGATCAACTCTCTAGAGTCATGTTCATCACCGTTGACTCATCAATGGGAAAGGACCGCGAGCATATTGTATTCGATTCTGCTGGACATGCGGACGGGCTTCTCTGGCGTCAATCACATACCCTTGTTGCCGGAACGCGTGCCCGATCGAGCTTCATCTTCATCGGTCCAACGTATCATTACGGCTCGAGATCTCAAGGCAAGGATCGACCTAAGAGCACGCTGTATATCTAGGACCCTGAAGGACTCATTGTCGGACTCTGTGATACCAAGCTAAGTACGCTCGAGCAGTACAAGACCGTGCAGACTGCCTTGAAGCTTTCACACACATCTTCCTACAACATCCCCAATAACTACAGGGCAAACTCCAATGGGTGTTGACATTTCTGCCAGCAAAAATACCGGCCCAGATTCTGGCTGGGGCGCATCTGCTGAGGGCAACGGCTATGCTGGTACGGACTCTGAATCGTAATAGCAACTCTGAAAATGACACGCGAACTCGACCTTTTGTGCCCGTAAATCAGGAAAGAGATGGCGCGGAGATGGCTCACAGACACGGCTCATGCAGAAATTGTCAACAATTCCTAGTTTACATAGTAAATGGAGGATAAGGGTTTCTTCTAAGACCGCGAATTGATCCTATTGACCCGCTATATCTAACACTACCCAAGGTAGATGCGGGTTCACACACACATGTAGTCGCGATAGGCGATAAAATAGATGCTTATGTTCATGGGCTAGGTTTAGAGCACCCAAAGGTAACTTGCGCGGCAGGTGAGCACAGCGTTCAAAAGTTCTTTGCGACAATTTAGTACTAGAAGCCATCGCAACAATATTCAGCCAGATATATCAGTCTACCTGCATCTGCTACTTCAAGATAAAAAGACTTGCCAAGATTGTGGTTGCATGCCAAGAAATGTCGGCCCAATAGGCTGGCTAACTACTAGTAACTAGCTAGGGCGATAACTACTACGTACCGTACCTCCCACCCTCCGTAGTAGTTAGTACACACGTGGCATTAGTAGTTCTATCCGCCATACACTCCACCTCCACAGCCTTACTCCGTGGATCCGCACGCGCTCTACTGCGGGGCTCTGCAACAAAAGCAGCACCTGTCCTGTCGACAATCCACCGCCTCTCACACACACACCAACTTTTAAGCAGAAATCTTTCATCAAAACTCGTCAATTTTCTATCAGATATAGGGGTAACACGTCG